TATATGCTGGTTGCCAAGTGACTTAGTTTTGATCACATGACCATGGAGATGCTGCAACAGCCATAAGTGCAAATTGTAAGTCACTTTTTCCAGTGCTGTTGTAACTTTGAACTGTCAACGGAGTAGGGATACACTCTACAAACAAATGTTTGTAAGTAAAGTACTACCTGTACACTTAATGTCAATGAATTGAAATGGAGTATACTGAAATTGCATACAATATGGATATGCATAAAGATATTCTCTACTTATAATAATCCCTAGTACTACAGGATGGAATTATGTCAAAACTAAAGTCTTTATGAATTTGGAAGGCTATAGGAACTGATGGATTATCTGCAGAAATATGATGTGCAATGAAAAAAGAATACTCAAACTCTACCAGCAAATATGAAAAACAATACAATGCCAATTTGGTCAACAGATTGGAAGAGGCCGGTCTACATACCAGCAGCAAAGAGACTTTAACATGAGGATATTGTGCTATTTACCACACCATATCCTAATTTCATGTGCTGACAAAATAATCCTTTCAATCATCCAAAACAGATTAGAGCCCTACATGTAAATCTCAAACGGATTTTAGAAAAGTTAAAACAGAAACTAGAAAGATTATTGCAGATGCACCATAGATAATCAAGAAAGCCACAGAGATCAGTGTGTTTCCTTGACTAAAAGCCTTTTGTTATGTTAACCACGTTAAGCATGGAATGTCCATGGGAAAAGGAGAATCTGAAACATCTCACTGCTGTAATGTGAAACCTATATCCAGAAAGCAACAGTCTAAAAAAAATCAGTCAAACAGACTGGCTCCAAGCAACAAAGGAGTGAGACAAGACTGTATGTATACTGTTTCCTTATTTACTCAACTGATATGGTGATTATATATTAATTAGACTGGACTGTATAAAGATGAGTATAATTTTAAAATTGGGGGGGGGCATCAATAACCTGCCCTGCCCTGATGACATTATTCTGATAATTTATTGAAAATTTACTGGAGATTCTAATAATGAAAATGAAGGGACACGATGAAAAAAAAATGGGATTATACTGTAATTATATATAAGGAAGAGCAAACTAATGCCAACAGGCACAGCAGCAATATAATGAAATGGCAGAAAGCTTGTGTCTTTTATGATAAAAGTATCAACAGTAAAGAAACCAGAAGTTAATCAATATGGCTCAGACTACCACTTGGACATGTAACAATGAAGGACAAGAGAAAGATATTCAAATGCTTGACACCTCTATATCTATTTTAAAAAATCAGAATTGTACAGACAATGGTTTTCTTTGGGACATTGTAGGGAAACAAAAATTGGACTCTGAAGGAGGATAGAAAGAATACTGATACTTCTGAACTTTGGGGCTGGAGAAGTCTCTTGAGAATATAATGGCTAGCAAAAAAAACAAAAATAAATAGTTCATTGAACTAAACAACCCTTAGTTGTTAAGACACTCAAATTACCTTGAACACAATATATCAAGACACACATCCCCTGAAAAGTCCAGTGTGTTTGGAAAGGTGGAAGGAAAGGGAAGATGCAACTAGCTGTAAGGTGGTTAATAATTACCATGACCATGAGTGAAATATGGGAGATCTGAAGGGCAAAGTTGGTTATAGATCATCCTGGAGAAGAAGGTGTCTGGGTTAACACTGACCAGATGGTACTTAATTAATCAACAGGTATACTGTATGTCAAAAATGAATAAAACTGCTTTCCCTCTGAATCAGATGACAGATAATGTTGTACCAATCAACTTTTACCCAGGCCTCTGAATTTGCTGAGACAGGAAGGGGAAATTTGCTCCAACTTTTCAGAAATTTAAGGGTTTAGCAGGATTACAGAGGTCATATATTTGTTCCTCATTATATTTTAATATTCTGTGTTTTAACAACATAATGGAATTTGGATGATTGTAGCAGATATTTTATGTTGCACACTTTACTTTTTAAATGTTTTTCAAAAGAAAATGGAAGTGTGCTATATTATCAGCAAATCCAATTACTTTTCTCTGTCTTGCCTTTCATAGCATATAGCCTCATTCATTAGCCTATTTAAATTGATTTTTTTCTGTTTAATGAGCTAGTGACACAAGGGCAAGGATATTTTAATGCTAAATTAGTACCACAATAAGTTAGAACATAAGTACAATAATAATTATACACCTTTATGTCTTCAATTTACAGAGTAAATCTAGGCAAATCAGGTAATCTCAATGCTATCTGATCAACGTGGTGATCTCAAATATATTTCAATTAAATGTTGAAGTTTGGAAGAAGAGTTTTAATTTTGTAGTTCCAGGCATGCGAAGCAACATTATTGCATTTTGAGGATTCTGACTAGGAAGTTGTCACCACAAAAAATGGCCACCTTGTGAGAGAAATCAAGAGATGAGTTTGGGATGATGCATCGAAACTGTTGCTCACCATACCCAAGGGAAGAATGGAAGATAACCTTCAAATGGCATTCCCTAAAATCATAAGTCAGTATCTAAACAATACTGGGATTACTATAAATCTTACAGAGAATGAACCACTGTATCCTATTAATGCATTGCATGTTTCAATAGTGAAAATATAAATTATTTCTGCCAACTAAACTAATTCCATAACATATAATATGTAAACTATTTACCTACTCTGCATTTATGATCTATTTAAATAGTCTTTTAATGTCATAATTAAGAATCACTTTAAGCACATCCAATAAAATGATTTCACTTTATATAAGAAACACCATACCATATCCCATGTACTCCTTGACATTCCTTCCATTTCAAAAATGTTTTTCCATGAACCAAAATTAAAATCAATAGATGGGAAAGGAGAACATGTCCCACTGCAGAGCAGAAGAATGAGAAAGTCCACATATGGTAATATTCAGCAGTGAATGAAATAGAGTGCTATAACTTCCAGGAATCCATGACTACTTGGTTGTATGCATGTCTTTACTGGATATTCAAGGTAAGATCTATTTTGATATGTGTATTAGATACCGTGTTTCTCCAACAATACGGCCTCCACCAATAGGAAGGTCCATCATGATTTCTAGGCATGAGGTGAAATTAAGCCCCGCCCCCAAAATTTAGGCCTATTTAAACCATGCGTTTCCCTGCCATTTCTCACATCTTCACGAGGTGAAGAGAAATGGGGGGGAAGGGCAGGGGGGTGGGGAGAAAACTTGCCTTTAGGAGTGCCCTGCAGGTAGCCTAGGCTAGAATGTCCCGATAGCCGCTAGAAGCTCCCCAAAGGCAGAGTCCCCAACTGCTTCAGGGCAAGGCGTGTCTGCCCGTGTCCCCTCGCCTTTAGGCAGTCTCTTTCGGGCGATGGAAGCTCCCCAAGTGCAGTCACCAGCCACTTCGATCGGCCGGGAGAAGCGGCCTTGGGGCGAGCACACACACATACTCCCCTCACCGCGAGGCCGCTTCTATCGGCCGATCAAAGTGGCTGGTGACTGCCCTTGGGGAGCTTCCATCGCCTGAAAGAGACTGCCTAAAGGCGAGGGGACATGGGCAGCCACGCCACGCCCAAAGTGGCTGAGGACTCTGCCTTTGGGGAGCTTTCATTGGCCGATAGAAGTGGCTTCACAGTGAAGGAAGTGTGTGTATGCGCTCACCCCGAGGCCGCTTCTACCGGCCGATCGAAGTGGCTGGTGACTGCACTTGGGGAGCTTCCATCGCCCGAAAGAGACTGCCTAAAGGTGAGGGGACATGGGCAGCCACGCCACGCCCTGAAGCAGCTGTGGACTCTGCCTTTGGGCCGCCGATAGAAGCGGCCTCGCGGCGAGGTATGTGAGTATGGGCCGCTCTAGGTGGGGGAGGAAATTAAGTCACCCCCGAAAAGACGGCCTAGCCATTTTTTCGGGGGTCAAAAAAAAATAAGGCCCGGCCTTATTTTGTGAGAAACAGTAGAAAAGAACCTATTATGATTTCTGCTACATGTCAATGTCTTAATGTTAAGCCCCAAATATTTGAGGTTAATGTTACAGGTAAGTACAGTAGATATTATTTCACCCCGTCTTTCTACCTGTAAGAAACTCATGAGGAGTACCAATTTAAAATAAAGAATTACAAGCCACTAGAATCATACCACCACAAAAATCTAGCAGGAGTGGACATTTTTAACTTCTTTCTTAAAAGCAGTAAGGTTAGAGTTAACTCATAAAGTGATGTATGTCCAGGCATATGTAAAACATTCTGAACTTTGAAATATGCTTTGACCATATAAAAATATTCTATGTTCCTACATTCCTGAAAGTGTTACTTTAGTATTACAGCTACATTTTGAGATCAAAATTGCTGTCTCAAGATTAGTCTGGGAGAGACTGAGAAATCATTCCAAACCAAATCCAGCTCAAACTGTGGCAAACTGGATTGCAAGAAAACTGCTTTTCATAGGACAGAAAGGCCCAAATTTTGCTCTTTTCTGTTGCAACAGCAAACTGCATTCTGAGAAGTGATGCCAAACTTTTTCCATTAAGTCAGACAGCTCTATGCTAAACCAGAAATAAATCCCAGACAGGTATTGCTACAATCTAAATAAATATATGGATTATTACATTATTTATATATGCACTTTCAAGTTAATGCCAAAACCATGAAATAACAAAATAATATACAAGAATGCATCCTATCATGGTGGTGTTTAGAATTATGATGAATATGCACTAAATTTCATTTATACAACCCATTTCTCCAATTAACTGAGTTCTAGCCCAATAGTACATACAGTAACTGAAGATGGTATGATACTTTGGCATACATTGAACTCAGTGTAAGCTGATTTGTAGCATGCCATCAACAAAACAAAATACATTAAGTTCTGTTATGAATGCAAAATAGCACAGCCCATTGGGTAAATCATACAACATCTTAAAATATGTTGTTTAGGTCTGCAACACCTCACATGCTGTATATTTTTGTGGACAGATACATGTGGTCAGAGTATGTAGTCAAAATGTGTACTCATATAATGTAAAAATGCCATTCCTTACCTCATATGACCAGACACACTGAGTACCACCAAATCGCCGAACACATCTGCCCACTTCCACGTCCTCATGAGTCGTGTACATCTCTTGAAGACATTCACCTATATGTGGCACCATCCTTCTGAGAACCTCACGACTGAAGATCATCCCAGGCCCGCCCATGCAGAAGTTCTCTCCTGGTTCAAGACCCAATTTTCCAAGTTCTTCTGTATTTCCTAGTCCTGTCTGTCCCAAATAGAGAGGTTTGCTGCTATTCAGTGATCGAAGGAACTCCTCCAATTTTTCACCTAAACGGAAAAAAATATCAAAAGATATTATTTACAGGACAAATATATCTTTTACATAGAGAATAATATATTTGCCTTTTACAGTGCTCTTTGTATAATGGGCCTTACTCCCAGGCAATGGGAATTACATTGCATCTTATTGTGTATTGAAAATCAATTTTGTTAGCAGTATCACAGTCTGCTAAGGCCAACAGTACACAAACCCTTCTTTCATAAACATGTTTCATAAACGTGTCTTAAAAACATCTTCAATAATAATCTATTTACTCTTTGCATGTATTTCTCTCTTTTCATACAAACACATTTACATAAATTCATAATTTAGCACATATTTTTATTTGGATAAATTCAGAAGCGGAATGGTTTGGTTTGTCCCCTCTTAAGCAAGTTTCAAAAAACCAATTTTTCACTGATTAGTATGGAAAACCCATATTTTGCTGTAGGCAGACACAGTACATGATATTCTTGAGAGGAATCCTGCCTAATTCCAGAGAAATGCATACAAGTGTTTTGAAGCTCAATTCCTTTAAATTCTTACTAAATTTAAAAATACAACTTTAAAATACAAAGGAAAAGAAAAATGCTTGTAATGGTTTGTCTTTGAAAAGAACTATATATTTGCAGGCAAAAGATAACTTAATGCTTCATATTATTCCTCTAAAGTACTATGATTGGAGATACTAGAACAAAGCTTTGTTTATGTTTAGAAAGGAGGCATATCAATCACTAAGCTCTACTCCCCTTCTATCCTGTTATTTTAGGGAGAAATCACAACATATAGTAGCAAATGGATGGTCTTTTATAGTTCTGCAATACAAACTCCACTAACCTACATAGAATTTAGGATCCTAATCAAATTTTTATCATTCCGCAGGGTTCCCTCTTCAGTTCAGTGATCTAGCTATGCTCTGTTCAAAACATAAAGAGTGTACTGTATTACTTTGCAAAAAAATGATTTACATTCAACTATTTTAGTGGATGTCAGGCAAGTATCCAGAAGAGCTGGGATGTATTTATACAATAGACGCAGTAAAGGCTGTTTGATTAATTACTAGAAAGAATGATTTAGTTGTCTAGTTATCAAATTTACATTCTTGTCCAAAGTATACTTTTCTAAGAATTATAGAATCCTATATATTTATTCCAGGTAAGTAAATATAAAATTGTATGGGTAGTCTTCAACTTAAGACCATAACTGAGCCCAAAATTTCTGTTCGGTGAGATATTTGTTAAGTGAGTTTTGATATTTGTTAAGTGAGTTTTTATGACCTTTCTTGCCACAGTTGTTAAGTGAATCACTGCAGTTGATAAGTTAGTCACCTGGTTAAGTGAATCTGGCCTCCCCATTGACTTTACTTGTCAGAAAGTCGCAAAAGAGGATCGCATGACCCCAGGACACTGCAACCATCGTAAATATGAACCGGTTGCCAAGCATCTGAATTTGGATCACATGATCATGGGATGCTGCAACGGTTGTAACTGTGAAAAATTAGTTGTCACCTTTTCCAGAGCGGTTGTAACTTTGAACGGTCACTAAATGAACTGAAGTAGGTCGAGGACTATCTGTATTACAAGGCACAGTTTCAATGAGACATACTTGGTTAAAAAGCTAAATTAGTTGGAATTGGAATTTACAAAACAACCTTATGGTTAACAAGCTAAATTAGTTGGAATTGGAATTTACAAAACAACCTTATGACCTTTGATAAATATTACTGATACACCTTTAAAATTCTGGGGACCTGACAATTGAGTTTACCCTGCAATTTAAAGACTATGCCAGAGCTGGTATTAAAACCTTTGAAATAAAGAGAAAATAAAACTCACATCTGGCAATTTGCTATTTCAGAAACTATAAACCAGACTTGTACAACTTAATCCAGCTGCCTCCAGATGTGTACAATGCAATTCCCATCAATGGAGGTAATGGAAACAGTCGTTGAAAACATTTAAGAACACCACCACCTTGAAAAGGTCTTCCATAAACTTTTCTTTCTAATTCCACTTAAGTTTATTTATGTTGCATTCTAGTTATGGACAGAGAGAGTTAGCTAACAATTTATTACTTTATAATTTATTACTTTTATAAAGCAGTATAAAAGAATATTAAATAAAGTTGGAAAAAAACTTCGTAAATTACTTTGTACATCCTATTAATAGACTGTTTACATGTGGTATATTACACAAACACTAATCTAGTTTATTTTGTGGCACTTCTAACTTTCCAAATCTAATTAAAGAATTATATCATTTATAATTATATATTCTGTCCTATGCTTTATTCACAGTTATCAATATCAATTAGAGAGATCTTATATTCAATGTCTCACCTTGTCTATTCCCTGTCACTCTCTCCACCCCACAACTTTCTCTGGGCCCTTCAACTTAGCACCCCCACTTACTTTGTAAAGCTTTCTGAAAATATAATTTAAATTAAAAGCATTACTAGATTTTGTTTCCCCCCTTTCATTGATTTGAAGGTACACAGTGAAATTCTACAATATCAACAATGTGCTAAAAAGTTTGCAGGTGGGAATAACTTCAAACTACTACTAGATGGAACCAACAGTAGCAGGCTGTGTCTAAATATAATCCTTCTTTAAAAAAATACCCTAACTGTTACCAATGGTACATTATGGTCCCTTAGACCCAGATTTTGCAATAACTTGAAATCTATGAATATGTTTGCATGGCTATTGCCATTCTTCCATTAGATGATTCTGAACAAGGTTTGTATTCACCCAACCTCCAAGAGTTGAACTCAAATCACAGCAGTCTTTTTGTAAAGGTGTACTTTTCGCAGCTTGTTTATAAGTCAGTTTTGACAAGCAGATAACAAGGGACTAGTGAATCCAAATAAGAGGGTTTCTTTACTTGCTCAGCTTTAGCAAATATTTAGCAGGTTCATGCAGAATTTCAGCAGGATTTGATCCCTCATAATTTCAAATATTTAGCAAGTACATGGACATTACGGAATATGTGGACAGATGCTGCAGAGTTTTTGGATCTGCAAAAGGCAGGTTTTAAAGCTTTCAAGAAGTCCTGCCCTTTATCTATACCAACGGCAAGCCTCCTGGTGCTAGTTACACTTTTCGGATCACACCACTGGTGCCCTCTGCACATGGTCAATCCCTCTCATCTCTCTTTCGCCCAAGACAAAGGCACACTAACACACCTCTGGTTCTCACCTTTGATGTAGACATCGTCGTCCGCCCGCATGAACCACTCATAGGTGTCCAGGTAGTGGTCGTACATATACTTGAGCATCATGAAGGATTTCTTCTGCGGCGGATACGAATCGTCCACGCCGGGTAAAGCCACGACCGGCAGGGGCTGCTCCCCTTTTAGGCCGGGAGGAGGGACCGATCCTTCGCTACAGAAGAACTCCACCCGGCCGGAGATGGAGCGCGCCCAGGTCCGCTGCGCTGCGAGCGCTCGGCTGCCCAGGTACTTCTGGGCGGTCATCACCCCGACGTAAAGGAAGTGCCGGGTTTTGGTACAGCCCGGGGTGCCCGCGTAGTCCCCGCTGCCGTTGTGGCTGCTGCCGTGGCGGCCAGCGCCGCCTTCTTCCTCCTCGTCCTCTTCCTGAGGATCTCTTCCAGCAGCTGCAACCGGGAGACTCGGCACCGGCCCATCTGCGACGGGCGGCGGCGGGGGTGGCCGGGGCTCCCGCTCCTTTTCCCACCGCCTGTGCCTACCGCCAGTGCCCCCCAAGCCGGCAGCCGTCACGGCCGGCTCCTCGGGTCGCAGCTGCCTCTTTCCTCCGGGCAGACCAGCCACGCGGCCATAGAAAGCACAGAGGTTATTGCTGCCGCCGCCGCCGCCGCCGCCTCCACTCAGGGAGCCGCCGTGGCTGCCGCGCCTTTTCCTCTCGCTCAGCTCGACCACTTTGGGGGCGATGAGCCAGGAGGCGACAGTGAACCCCAAGACCAGCCCCAGGACGACACTCAGCCAGGGGCGCCGGGACCGCGCGGCCATGCTGGGAGCCACAGGATGGGGCGGCGGCGAGAGACCGAGAGCGAGCGAGCGAGGGTTCCGTCCCGCGAGGAGACGCCCACCGAGCTGCGGGTCCCGCCGCCGCCACCGCCGCCGCCTTCTTTCCCTCCGCCTCTTTCTCGTCACGCTTTCCAGAGCCCGAGACAGCCTTTGCGAGTCCCCGAGGCGTGGTCGCTTCCCACCGCAGCACAGCCGCCGCCGCCCCCGGCGGCAGAAGCTCCGGGCTGTTGCTCCGAGTGGAAGTTCTCTCCGCGGGCAGCGGGATTAGCGAAACAGCTGCCCCCGCCCCTCCCCGGCGTCCAAGAAAGGCGCTTGCCCGGTCGCCCTCGGACTCCGCGGGCAGCCACCTTCCAGCCTTCGCGCCCCTCCCACCCCCTCTGCCTCCTCCACACAAGAGCGGCGGAGCGAACGAGCGGTTGTGGCCGCCGTTGGTCTTAAACGAGGCTCCGCTCGCTGGTCATCCCGCTCCTTCAGAGCCGCCGAGCGCGGCTTCCTGGCGCCGCGCTCCGGAGAGAGCTGCACTAACAGCACCGTTGATGCAACGGTGGCAAATAGCCGACCTGCCTGAAGGAAGGAAGATTCCCCACCCCCGGCCCTCGTTCTTCCCAGGAACTCCCCATAGTTTCTGCGAGTTTCGTGGCCGGTTATCCCTCACGACCTGGTCTCACACTTTTCCCCTCACTTTGTCTGTGGAGATTTCTCCGTCATCCAGGTCATGGTTGTCCCAAAGGTGCTTTTTCAGGAGACAACTGCAATTCCTTGTTTTTTTTCTTGGAAGGCATTTCGCTTCTCATCCCAGAAGCTTCTTCAGCTCTGACTGGATGGATGGTGACTGGATTTTCCAATCCTCCCATTCCCCACCATTCAGTCAGAGCTGAAGAAGCTTCTGGAATGAAAAGGGAAATGTCTTCAAAGAAGAAACAAGGAAACCCAGTTGTCTCCTGAAAAAAAAAAGCACCTTTGGGTTTCCCTTCACTTGGTATCTGCATCCAGTTCTGGTCACCACCAGATATATAAAATATATTGAAGAGAGTGCAGAGAAGAGCAACAAAAATGATTATGTGGCTGGAGGCTAAAGCAGTCAGGGATGGGTTGGGGGAATTGGGTATGGCTAGTGTCAGGAAGAGACCAGGGGTGACGTGAGAGCACTCTTCCAGCACTTGAGAGTCAATCTATTCTCCGAAGCACCTGAGGGCAGGACAAGAAGTAAGGTGGAAGATTATTAAAAAAGAAATCCAACCTAGAATTTCCTCACAGTGAGAACAATTAATCAGTGGAACAGCTTGCCTCCAAAAGTTGTGGGTGCTCTATCACTGGAGGTTTTCAAGAAGAAGTTGGGCAACTGTTTCTTCCGGAATGATGTAGGGTTTCCTGCTCAAGCAGGGGTTAGACTAGAAGACCTCAAAGGTCCCTTCCAACCTATGATTCTATGTCCTGTGTCTTGGTTCCCCAAGGTTGTGGGAGGATCTTTAAGTCCCCTTCCAAACAGGTGCTGCACAGAATGCAGAATTGTATTGTAACAGAATGTAGGCATGTAAGACAGGACTGGTAGGAAGTAGGAAAAAATACTTGCTTAAGTAGTAAGGCATTTTCCTTCTCAGCAACAGAAGAGGTAAAAGAGTGCAGGAAAGTCCCCCTTCCCATTAGCCCTTCGAGTTGCCTAGGTCAGAAAACAACGCTGCAGGGGGAAAAAATCAAGATCAGCTAACAGACTCTGGCAGGTTTGATTGATTTTTCTTTCTGTCCCTCTTACACCCCAATTAGTTAAGAAGGAATCATGCTAAGCCTTTCCCTAATGCTCTCTCCTTTCCCAGGGCTTAAGGGAGACTTCTGCACATTTAATTTTTCTACCAGTTTTTGAATATTGGAATTCTATAGTAAAGCCTTCTCCATGGCTTAACAGATAACAGATAATCAGAATGGGAAGGAACCTTATAGGTCATCTAGTCCAACCCCCCGCCCAAGCGGGAAACCCTACACCATTTCTGACAAATGGCAGTTCTTGAAGGTCTCAAGTGATGGCGCTCTCACAACTTCCAAGGCAAGGTGTTCCATTGGTTGATTGTTCTCACTGTCAGAAAGTTTCTCCTTATTTCCAGGTTAAATCTCTCCTTGTTCAGTTTCCATCCATTATTCCTTGTCTGGCCTACAGGCACTTTAGAAAATAGCTTGACCCCTTCCTCCCTGTGGCAGCCCCTCAAATATTGGAAGACTGCTATCATGTCTCCCCTGGTCCTTCTCTTTACTAGACTAGCCAAGACCAGTTCCTGCAACCGTTTGTTGTATGTTTTAGTCTCCAGTCCCCCAATCATCCTGGTTGCTCTTCTCTGCACTTTTTCTAGAATCTCAACATCTTTTTTACAAAGTGGTGACCAAAACTGGATGCAGTACTCTAGGCTCTAGGGACTCTTTCTCAAGTTTCACTAAAATGGTCTTCCTTCCTGAAACCAATAAAGCAATTTGTTTTGCAAAGCCCAATTGTTTTTATTTGGGCTTGTAGCCAAAGGTTAATGTTTTCATTTCTCACACTTGGAAGGCCGGTGTCCCCAGCTTTCAATTTCACCCATGCTATCAGGGAACCATCTGGCAATGACAGTACAGCAGGTTTAGCCTTTTGTCAGAATTCACTCTGACAAATTAGGAAAGATGGCAAAGGGGTCTTCAACTTTCTGATGCTGTGAGTGTCTTCGCAGGCCTGGAGGCTTCGCAGGTCTGGGGCTTTTAAAAAGTCACCTCTCTAATGACACTTGCCATCTCTTCCAGCCTTTCAAATCAACCCCAGTTATGGAGAAATATCAGGTCCAGAAAGACACTGGTCTTTCTTTACCTGCCAGGAAACCAAAAGTTTGAAAAAGTTGGTTCGTTCTCTTCATCTGTCTCCTCGTCCAGCCAGAAAATTAGCTCCTGGAGTTGTAAAAGCTGGGTAGACAAATTCAAAGAGATGACCAGAAGCAAATTTTCATGGCAGCAGAACAGCTCCTTCCTACTTGACTCCATGGTCCTATATTGAAACCTGGGTCTAGTGCTCTTTTAAAAGCATACTGAGGCCAAGTTTAAAAATAGCCTCAGTCTGATTGGCATATTGAGGATTTGCGCAATGAAGGGCACAGAGCAAGCTCATCCATGTTAGGGATACACACCCTAGCAGAACGTGCAACGGCAGTCAAGCAGACAGAGAGTGTGTGTGAGATAAAGCGTTGTTGTAGCTTTACAATCAGTAAGACAGATACACTGTGCAATTAAATAGTTTTTATTACAGCAAGAGTTATAGCATAGTCAAAGCAGTCCATATGTCATACACTAAGTTCAGACAGTCCGAGGGTTATTCAGGTTGCAAAGTCCAGTGTAGAAAATAGGTCGTTCAACTCACAAACAATCAGTCCAATGATGTATCTCTTTTGCAGTCAGAGATATGGAGCAAAATCAAACCTTCTTTTCTTCTCTCAGCAAACGCACCCAGTAATCACCATCAATCCTTCTCTGTCAGCATTCCAGTAAAAGCCAGCAAACAGTGAGCTCTCTTGCTCCCTCTTATGGCGATTTACAACCGCACCCAAAATACTTGGCTTACAGTTTAAAGTGACACACACATTTAAACTAACTAACATATATTATATTTAGCCAAACTAAGTTAGGTAACAAATGTTATCCCTAACAATCCATCCCACCCATCTTCTGAGCTTGGAAACATCCAACCCAGCAGCTGACAGGGAACAGGAATATTGGGCCATGAAACAATGGAAAGAGAGCTGTCTCTCTCCTACTTTCTTTCATAATGTATGGTTGCTGCCATTAATTAACTTCTCCTCATGCTGATCAAGGACTCTGAGTCAGGATCAGCTCCAGACATGGCATATGAGGGGAACCTCTGCCATTCAAGGCAAAATAACCAGTGTTGGCTGGGGAATTCTGGGCATTGAAGTTCAGGAATCTTGCCAAAGTTGAGATCCACTGGCCTAAACTATTCAATAATGTCACAATGATCCCATTCCTAGGATCAGCAACAGAAGGAACAATGAAGCATATCAGATTGTATCTATAGGAAAGCTGTCATGGCTTATTGCCTGCTTAAAAGAAGAATCAATATTTGAAAACTGGAGAAGCTAAGGCTTACAGCTGCTTCGGTATGAATTAGACATGAGACAATATCATGACTTGGTGATAAGTTGGGCAGCCTTAAAAAAAAAAGCTTGCTGGGATATGTTTGTGCTATTGGGCTATTGTTAGGTGCTAGTGAGAAAAGACTGAAAAGCTACCAGAAAGTAAAAAGGCATGAAGAGCTCTAACAATAAAATATGATTGGAGGATTGCTGAAAGCAGCAAAACCAAACATAAGCTCTGACTTGGAAACATGAATATTAGAATTGTCTATTCGTTGGCACATTCATACGATAATCTAGACCAGGGGTGTCCAACCTTGGCAACTTTAAGCCTGGAGGACTTCAACTCCCAGAATGCCCCAGCCAGCTTTGCAAAGCTGGCTGGGGCATTCTGGGAGTTGAAGTCCTCCAGGCTTAAAGTTGCCAAGGTTGGACACCCCTGATCTAGACAATGGGAAACATAATATTGATTTCATGCTGCTTTTATTGCCAAGGCATTCCATAGATTTTCTTTCCAGGTTTTAAAAGAGAGCTGGGTTTTGAAAGGTTTTGGAAGAGGGCTGGGAAAGTCAAGTTCAAGTGTCCCATTTATAGCACATTTCACCATAGCCCTGCCACTATCTCTCAGCCATGAAAGGAGAGTTCCCATGTATTATTCTACCTTAAACTCTCAATGTACTGATTGGATATAAACACAATCACTACAGAATTCAATGCAGAAGGCTAATTATCAGGATTCACTGAAAAGAGAGGAGCTGTAACCCAATTCTAGTGTTGATATGCTCCTTGGGCTACTAGTACATCGTCATTAACATAATGCCCTTGCTTATACCTTTTTTTTAAAAGTAGCCACAAATTACAGAGAATAAAGGGGTAGTGACA